TTAGAAGAGAATTAAATAAGTACTACTACGTAGTTGACATTATTGATTCATTTCCTTCCAAATTTGTTGTATGTTGATAATATTAATTTATGAAAATTTTTAATTTGTGTTTCAGAGATGTATTTATCATGGATAGTGATGCATGCATACTCCATCGTACCACACTCCATTACACCTTTCAATTTTTTTTATTTTCTCGTTAATTACACTTAATTTCGTTACCACCTTTTCAACGATCTCTCAACTCATCCAATCCTTTCCGTCCTCACTAGATCCATCTTCCTCTTCACCTTTATCTTTATCCTAATCATTTGCAAGACAATTGCCAGCACTCTCCAAGTTCCCACCTTCTTCCTTTTTTCTTTTTTTTTTTTTTTTTTTTTTTTTTTTTTTTTGGAGAACCTAGTTTGGGTTCTCCAATCTGGGAACCCAGACCTTCCCCTGGAGAACCCAGACTAAGTTCTCCAATATGGGAACCCAGACTAGGTTCTCCAATATGGGAACCCAGACCTGGGTTCCCCTAGAGAACCTCCAATTTGGGAACCCAAACTTGGGTTCTCCTGGAGAACCCGGGTAAAAAAAAAAGAGGGGGGCGGGGGGAAGAAGGTGGAAACTAGCACGGTGAGAGTGTAATGGTAACTAACGGAGTGTGGGAACTAACAGAAGTTAACGAAAAAAAAAGTGTGTAACGAGAGTGTGGTACGGTGGAGTATAAGTCAATCATGATTCATTTATCATACTTATTTTATCATTAATTTATATAAAAAAATTAAAATTAATTTTAATTTTATCAATCATTCAATTAAAATATTTCATATACTATTAATTATATGTTGAAAATAAAATTTATTTTTATAATGATAATACTATAGTTACAATACTACGTAAGATTATAAGTTTACAATCATGTGGTATTAAATAAATATATCTATATAATATTATTGATAAACTACTAAATAAAAAAATCAACTATATAATAATATGTTATGTTATAAACTTATAAGCTTATATAATATTATGATTATAATATTATTATTATATAATAAAAATATATAATAAATACACACTTAACCTATATATCTAGGACACAAAATATAAAAAAAAAACTTTTAATTTATAATTAAAGTAAATTTTGGATAAGAGCAAGACAATTAGCATTGCCATTGGGCGTGTTGAACAGTGGTTAATCATCCCTTTTTTTGACTGCTTTGTGTGAGGCATCCACCAACTCCATGGACTATAATCACCCAAAAGCTTCCACATACATGTATCTATCATTTACTTGTAACCATCAATTAATCAAACTTTTCATTTAAATAATAGTCAATTAATCATGGGATTTGAATTTGATAGCTCATTTCTTTTGCATGGATGTGATATGTCCTTCGTGGGTTTCTGTAACTTTATGAGAATTATGATCTTCTCATAACGATAAGACAAATTCAACTTGTGGGAACGTCTTAGGCAGTTGAGAGTTGAATTTTCACGTTATTAACTTTTAAGGGTTGGTAAATTTTGTTTCGGATAGATGGTTTTTTTTTTTTTTTTTGAAGATGTTTATAAGGGTGGAATCGAATCCAAGCGAATGCTCTTTTTTTTCAATGTGACTAATGCCAAGTCAAAAAATCAAGTGCTATTTTGAATAGATGTTAGGTCTATAATATATTTTAGTTTGCATTATTTCACAGTTCACTTGTCGACACAATTAAATTATAAAATTGTAGTAATAGTATTCTTAATTTTTTTGATGTTCGGTATATTCTTGTAATTTACACTTAAAAAGTTTCTAAATTTTAAATTTTCAAAGTTATTTTTTATATATCTTAAAATAGAAAAATAAAAATTTAAACATCTTGAAATTAAAAAATTAAAATTAATATTTAATAATAATTACATGATAAACATGTTAAGAATCACAGTATATCTTATATATTTAGTAATTATGTGATTAAAAATTTTGACATTTTTATGCCAAGATGTCATGATTCTTGCTTTTCTCTTTTAAAATTATTTATAAATTTATATAATTTCATTTTTTTAGCATTTTTACAAATGATAGTAAACTAGATAGGTTTAATTAATTAATTTATCTTTTGATTTTCGTTGCATAATGAGAGTTAACTTTCTAACATTCTTTAACTTACTTAACTCACTTACATGTAATACAATTTGATATTAAAATCTATTAGTTTTATTAAAAAAATTAATTCTCAATAAACTACTTAAATAGTTGATTATACAAAATTTAATTATATATATCAAGTGAAGTACTGGATTTAATATTTTCGGTGTACATTGGCTTCTCATCAAGAATTAAATCAATGGTTTTTTTGGTAGCTATGTCTTAAGTTATTGTACTTTTTTGTAATTAATTTATATAGAAAATATAAATGTTGACTTTAATTTAATTTATTGGTCAATTAAATTTATTTTTAATATTAATATTACATGAACTATTTTAATTGAATAATTGATAAAATTAAAATCAATTTTTATTTTTTATACAAATTAAAAATTAAAAAATATATAAACGTGTCTATAATCCTATGCAAATTCCAGTCAAAATATATCTTCAAATATAATTAATGCTGCATCTATGATAAGCGTCATGAATGGGAGTACCAACCAAACCTCCAAGTGCAGGAATTTAATGCGGGAGTTTTTATTATCCTTGGATATATCCAAAAAAGAGAGGTAAATTAATTGGTTTCTGAATGTGTTTCCCTTAATTAGAATATTGTCAACAAAACCTTGCTGAGGAATTTTACTCGAATTAAATGTATTGTGATATGTTGCAGCAAGTGCTAATACACCATATATACTATCACTTAGGTTACATAATCTAATAACTATATATTTTATTGTAAAGTATATATACAACGAGTTGGAGTTTGAATCCATCTACTTCAAAAATTGTATTCCATTCAAAAAATAGTGTTAATATACTAAAACTTAATTATGTAATTTAATAATAAAATTACTTATATTTTTAACCCTATAAAGTTTGATCTTTAATTTATGAGAATGCTATAAGAATAATCTTTTTATATTATCTTTTGATACAATTTTCACACGTCATTAAATAAGTAAATGCATTAAATATCATAAGTTTAATATGAATAAAAAGAACCAATTAATGACAAATCAAGTTATACAAAAAAATAATAAAAAATAATTATAAAATCATTTTCCTTAATTTATACGTACCGAAAAATGTCAACATACTAAATAATGAAAAAAACTCCCTAATTAATGAGAAACGGTATCAACTTCATGTTAATGTCGTCATCATCCTTTATATTAATGCATTCAACAAATTTACAAAGCACGACAAAGAACTTCCCATACCAATCCAAAAGTGCTGTGCCAACCTCAACTTCCACAAATTCCCTCCTTTAGATAGCTGCAAAAATTGGGAATTTGCAGATAGCTACCTTATCTTAATCTCAACAAAACAAAAAACAACTCAGACACAAATTAACCTGCACAAATAGGATTTTGAACTAATAAGAGTTTAGACAAATTAATATTCACTAATTTAAAACTTTAATTTATTATTAAAATTACGGATTCAAACTTTTATATTACCAAACAATTAACTTCTCAAATGTACTTAAAAAACAAGTCTTTGAACCAATAACAGATTGTGAACTATGATGTTGGTCTTTAGTGCCACTAACACTAGAGGCTTCATTGCGAAATAACCCAATATTGATTACACGAAAAAAATAAAAAGTGCAAAGGCATTGAGTCAGCCCATGAACTTATATATATATATATATATATGTCCGCCCATGAACTTAAAATATATATATATATATATGCATATGTATGTATATTTTTTGATTTTATCCTTGCACTTATTTCATGGGCTAATTAAGTCCCTATAAACTAATGCCTTGTCCAGTCAATTTCATTATCTTAGTGGAATCATACACAATTTTTCGTGTCTATAGTTTTTTTTTTTTTCCCCTCTCTTAAGTTTGCTACATAAACTTATAAAATAAGGAAGTAAATTGTGTTTGTGTGACTTCTAAGGGATTAACAGAAAAATGCCACAATCACGAGATTTTCTCTCCCTTAATTCCTTTAAGTTAACCTTAACTAGATATAATTTGTACACAAAGGTGTAATTAGATTTAAACAAGTTCAAAGGAAATTTTGAGGGAAAAAATAAAAGACCTTACTCGTACCGGTGAAT